AATACCATGGCTTTGACTAGGCGGATCTTTGTTGCCAGTCTGATGTATCTACTCTTCACTATTTTATCGAGATGGGCCATTGCTCTCCTCCCAAGAAGTAAGCGTCTTCTGATTTCCTGGCTACAGTCTGCATCTGCAGTCATCTTTGCGCCTAGAAATACAAAGTCTGTCACGGCCTCCACGGTTTCTCCCTCTATTTTCCAGTTGTCAATCATTCTTGTTGCCATAATCTTGGTTTTTTTGACGTTTAGCTGCAACCCGGCTTTTGCGCTTTCTTCTTTCACCTTGATTAGAAGGCTCCTCAGCTCCTCCTCGCTTTCGGCCATCAGAGTGGTGTCATCTGCATATCTGAGGTTGTTAATGTTTCTTCCAGCAATTTTCACCATGAAATAGATTAAATTAATATAATTCCTATTGAACAGGACTTGGTATTTGATTGTTGGTCTCTCATCCAAATACTAACCAGGGCGGACCCTGCTTAGCATCCAGGATCAGACAGGATCTGATGTCTTTAGGGTATTGCACGCAATATATTAAATTAACCATGGTGGGAGCTGTAGTTCATCCTGCAGACAGAGAACTCATGGACCACACTGATGATCCATCTAGAACAAACCTGCCCAGCATGACAAAATACTGATAAGAGTTTCAGGGTGTTAACCTGACATGATGTGAATCATAGTTCACACACACCTTATGCATTTTGTAAAATTAAAAAAACTCTGGGTACCCAAGCTTGGTGGTATGGGGAGATCAAGCCTCCTTGTCTGTCTCCTGAGGAATCTGTATAACAACCAAGTAGTAACAGTAAGAACTGACCATGGAACAAGGGAATGGTTCAAGATTGGGAAAGGAGTACAGCAGGGCTGTTTACTCTCACCCAACCTATTCAACTTGTATGCAGAACCCATCATGTGACGTGCAGGACTTGACGAATGCAAGGTTGGGGTTAAAATGGCTGGAAGAAACATTAACAACCTTAGATATGCAGATGATACCACTTTGATGGCCAAAAACTAGGAGGAGCTGAGGAGCCTTCTAACCAAAGTTGAAGAAGAAAGTGCAAAAAGCTGAGTTGCAGTAAAACACCACAGAAACCAAGATTCGGGCGACAAGACTGATTGAGAACTGGCAAATTGAGGGAGAAAACGTGGAGGCAGGGACAGACTTTGTAATAATAATAATAATAATAACAACAACAACAACAACAACAACAACAACAACAACAACAACGCTTTATTTGTACCCCGCTACCATTTCCCCAAGGGACTCAGTGCGGCTTACATGAGGCCGAGCCCAACACAACAATACAAGCAATAATCACAACAATACAAGCAATTAAAATAAAAACATAGACGATAAACATATAACATTATCAATAAGACAACATACAATTAAAACTGTGGGAAGGCCAAATGTAAAAATTAAAATTGGAAATAGGGCTGAGGCCTGGACGAAAAGGTGAAAGTGGTTTTTGTGGAAAGACATACGAGCAGACCTAAGAATATAAAGTGCTTTGGAGGGACGAAGTGCTATGGGATCATTATTCCGGGAAAGCACACTGGAACAACCACGTCTTCAAGCTCCTCCTTGTATTTCTAGGCACGAAGATTACTGCAGATGCAGACTGCAGACAGGAAATCAGAAGATGTTTCCTTCTTGGGAGGAAAGCAAAGACCCATCTCGATAAAATAGTGAAGAGTAGAGACATCACACTGGCAACGAAGGTCCATATAGTTAAAGCAATGGTATTCCCCTTAGTAACCTATGGATGTGAGAACTGGACCATAAGGAAGGCTGACCATAAGGATAGACGCTTTTGAACTGTGATGTTGGAGGAAAATGCCCAGAGTGCCTTGGACAATGAGAAGGTCCAACCAGTCCATCCTCCAGAAAATAAAGCCCAACTGCTCATTGGAGGGAAGAATAGTAAAGGCTAAGATGAAGTACTTTGGCCACATCATGAGAAGACAGGAAAGCTTGGAGAAAAGAATGATGCTGGGGAAAATGGAAGGAAAAAGGAAGAAGGGCTGTCCAAGGGCAAGATAGTGCATAGTGTCTAGATCTAGGGAAGTCATGCTACCCCTCTATTCTGCTCTGGTTAGACCACAACTGGAATATTNCTTCAGCAGCTGTGGTTGGGGCGTATATTTGGATCACTGTAATGTTGAAAGGCTTTCCTTGCACTCGAATTTCATTTCCTTGCACTCTGTCATTTTTTGGGTTGTATCCAAGCACCGCTTTAGCGAATTTCTTATTAATTATGAAGGCTACTCCATTTCTTCGATGTTCCTCTTGTCCGCAGTAGTAGATCTGGTGGTCATCTGATGTGAAGTGGCCCATTCCAGTCCACTTCAGTTCGCTGACCCCCAGAATGTCTATCTTTAGTCTTGACATCTCGCCAATAACAACATCCAATTTGCCCTGGCTCATAGATCTTACATTCCAGGTTCCTATGGTGTGTTGATCTTTAGAGCATCGGATTCGTCGTTCACCTCCAGTACCGTCGGCCGCTAGCCTTCCTTTCGGCTTTGAGCTAGCTGCGTCATCACATCTGGGGCTAGTTGAACTTATCCTCTGCTCCTCCCCAGTACCATTTTGGCCATCTTTTAAACATTAAAAAAAACCAAGATTATGGCAACCAGACTGATTGATAACTGGCAAATAAAGGGCGAAAACGTGGAAGCCATGACAGACTTATATTTCTAGGTGCAAAGATTACTGCAGATGCAGACTGCAGCCAGGAAATCAGATGACGCTTACTTCTTGGGAGGAGAGCAATGTGCATGTTCTTTCAAGTCACCTATTGGCTTATGGTGGCCCCATGATTTTTATAGGGTTTTCTTAGGAAAGAAATACTCGGAGGTGATTTTGCCAAGTCCTCCTTCTGAAATAAGGTCTACGACTCCCATCTACTACTGTATACTATCTAGGACTGCTCGTGCTTGTCTTTCAAGATGAGGCAGAATATGGTACCTTTAGGGCAGTGGTTTTCAACCTGTGGGTTAGCAAATGTTTTGGCCTTCAATTCTCAGAAATCCTAACAGCTGCTAAACTGGTTGGGATTTCTGGGAGTTGTAGGCCAAAGAACTTGGGGACCTACAGGTTGAGAACCACTGCTTTAGGGCGTTTAAGCCCTGAACTAGCCTTACTATAAATGCTTCCAGGTGAAACCAGTATCTTTGGCAAGACAACAGTAAATACTGACTTTGTTTTCTTTACTTTTATTTATCGTGTCATCAGCAACCATTGTATTACAATTCTAACAGAGCAAAACAAACACAGAGATTAAA